ATCTCTGAAACTTGCAATGACTGCAATCCACGCCAGTGTCTGGCTTTCATATGTCTCTGAGTTGCTTATCTCTTGATTTAATGGATATGATAATTAAAGGACAGAAATAAGCAAATGTAACTGAGAAAAAGAAACTGAGAATGCATCAGTAGCTGCACAACAGCAAACCCTGCCTCCCTCTCCCCTCTTTTACCCACTATCTTCGCCCTGTACTTTGGTCAAAGAAAAAGAGGATTTTATGAATCAGTAAAAGTCCAAAGAGTAATTTTAAATCTGGATCATTACAACATGATGTGTTTTCGGTATTTCTACTTCTATTTCCAAGACACAGCCTGACCGATGGTCAAGACAGGCCTGAACTTCAACTATGCTTCCACAGACTTCTGGATCTTGCTATCACGAAACGAAGGCTGGCCCTTGAAAACACACCAAGCTGAGATGCCATCACATAAGTTTATGGAAGTTAAAACAAAGGATGGTGGCTTGATCTATCTCTCACTGACACTGTGTCAGGAAACAGCCACTGCCATGCCTTGGCCCAGCCTTCTGTTGAAATGGTTTCTCTCTGAAAAGAAGTTTGGCATAAAAAAAATTGCAGTCTTCAGACAAGCAAAAGGACCTAAGACTGCAATGAGCATTCTTGTGTCTCAACAGACACATAGAAGTTATTGCAATAGCATGAATGCTTTGTGTCCTACTAGAGTTACCTGCAGCTCCCACGTCAAGAGACGCAGGACCACAGCTCTGTGCAAAATGTTCTTTTTATTAAGAGCAAAAGAACTGTTTGCCAGTCCAACTGATTACAACTCCTTCTCCCTCCCCATGGCAACTTCCCTATTAGTAGCACCACTCAATATGTTCTCTCTCAGTTTAAAATTCATCAGACATGGTAAATGCATAGCTTCTTTGTTGTCTTGCCAGATGGAAAGTCACTCTTTTGTGAGGGAGATACTGAAACACGTCTAGAGTGACACAATTCATGTAACCCGGCACAGTCATCAAAGATCCTAACTTTGTGCCAAATGATGATGCAGCTCAGGTCTGAACAGTCAGTCTAGTTACAAAGTGTTTTGCCTGCCATAGCCCTTACCTAGTACTGCCAGATCCGTCCTGGCCAATCATTTTAATGCTTATAAGTGATTCTCTAAATACATAAACAAAATACAACCCTACAGAGACAGAAAAGATAACAGCAATTGGAAATACAAGGAGAGACTGCAGGAGGACCCCAACTGACAAAGCATTTCTAGCAAGGCCTAGGGAGAGGGAGAAGTTTTAGTCTTGCCAGTCTGGCCATTTTTCACAGAATGCAAGAATTTAGTGGAAGAAAAGATTAGTTACATCACCATTATCACCACCCTGCTAAAGCAAGGTGGAATTCTTCCTGCCTCTCTAATCCTTTCTGCCATCTCTAATGCATTCACTTGCATTAGTGCAAACCCTCGTATGTGCCTACTAAGTTACAAACTCACATAAGTCATATACAGCTCTCCCTGCCCTGCCACAGCAGAGCAGAATATAAAAAAAATGGCCAGTCTCTTCGCGAACGAAGAACCGGGGAAGGTCTTTCCACCTTCCAGCCTGCACATTGGATTTTTTAGGTGAGACACAGTGTGCGCGGAACTGAGCCCACCCTTTAATCCTGAGGTTCATCTGCCGGGGCCAAGCACGCTTGGACGGTGGCAGCGAGGTCCTCAGGACGTAGATGGATTGCCTTACAGGGCTAGC